ATGATTTAACCAAATGTGAATTCATAATGACTTTCAAAGAACTCTAATTTTACATTTGTTGTGTTTGCAATAAAGAATAAAAGACCCAGAAAATGAGAAGATAAAATGTCCCTTTCATAAAAGGTGAAAGAGTCCCTGAAACATTTGATGGAAAGCCTTCATTTTTTTCTCTCCATTTCTGCTTCAATTGTTTTCTGTGTGAATGTTTCCTTTCCTTCGTCTCATGCAGTTCCTAACCTGTGATTTTGTTTTCTTTTTCCTTTTCTTGGCCTAGTCTTCTTTCCTCTTTTTCTCTCCTTCTTCTCCTTTCTTTTATAAATCTCCTTCTTTTATTTCGCCTTCTTGTTTTTAACTTAAATCAGGCCTTAATTGGAGCAAGTTCAAAGGCCTGTGTGATGTCAGTGCCTTGGATTTTGAAAAGACTATAGAAAATGCAGGTGTTGCCAAAGCCCACTCTAAAACGTCTCTGCAGACAGAACAGGAGTGTCATCCTCAGAGACTCCAGTGGAGGGTGAGGAAGCTTTTCTGTCCAGTCCTGGATCAAGAATTACATTGTGCATATTGCTATCACACCATTAAGGAAGAAAGAAATAATGACCATTTGCTTTTCATTTCTTATAAGTGTGTTAGAAGTGTCCATCAGTATGAGTACTGTGTGTCCCTCCCCGCAACAACAACAAAAAAATCACACTGACTTTCAACAACTCTCAAATGACCATGAATCCAGCCTCAGAGAACTTCTTTTGTAAAAGATGAATTCTTTTTCACTCTGATTCTTTCCACTGTCCCTTTGTAAAGGACACAGCTCCTGATTTTGGCATGAGGCATTTCCCAGGGGCTACTTGACTCCTTCCCCTAGCTGCAGGTAGGTGAAAGTTAAATTGGACAGTATTACTTTTCACGACGAGGAAGTCCAAGCCTTTTCCCTTAGACATGGTCAGAGAGAGGTGCAAACAACTTACTGAAATTATACTCTGACCTGGAAGGAGCCGCCCGGTGCTGATCTCATTATGGGAGCAGTAGATTGCCCAAAATAGCATGCTTATCCTGTTGACTCACTTTGGGAGATTAGGCGACATAATTAGGAATTACATAGGAGTGTGTGACACACTGTCGCAAAGATTGATTTCTTTAATCATTTACTAAGGAACTTTAGGGCCAAAATACTCACAGTCATATTAAGCAAATAAAGCTAATATAGAAACCTTTAGCAGAGCTGTGACCAAGAACTTCTGAGACCTGTGAAGAAGAGGCAATATCAATTCAATCAAAATAATCAGAGTTGGCAGAACTTTCAGAAATAGATGCATAAAATGTGCTTTCAGAGGCTCACCTAGGTGCCTCAGATTCAGAGTGGTTGTTACCTTAATAATACTATTACTTGCATGATTTAGATTAGCTTTTCTGCCAGACTAGTGGTTCTTAACTGGAAGCATGTGTCAGAAATATTTAGGAAGTCTTTTTTTCAAAAAACATGCCTGTCAGGGGCCCACCCCAGATTATTGATTCTGAATCATTTGTGTTGGAGCCCAGAAACATGTGCTTGGAAAAAGCCCCTGTAAAATTATGTAGCTTCTGCTTTCAAAAACAGTCCAAGGCCCACTACTCTGGGCTGAACACTGGTGTGGCAGAAACCAGGGGTGACTCATCTTTGTAACCTTAGCATTTATAATATGGCCCCTGGTTTGTAGTTGGGAGCTCAGTAAATAGTCATTGAGATAACGGAAGCAAATTATCTAGAAAGACTACACCATGTATATTTTTAGCTGTGCATTCATTTGAATTTCTACCAGCTAAGTGCATTTAGTAGTTGAATACAATTTTTAAAATAAACTTTGAAGGGAGGTCTCTTCAGCAGAATTACAAAGCATTATGTGGTCTAAATGCTTAGAAAGTAGACAGATGATGTAGATTTCAATCATAATGCGAAAGTAGAGAACATAGCAATGGTATGAAAAACACCTTTATAATTACTGGTTCCTGATTGACCTCTATTATTTTATCTGTAAAAATGTCTTTTTTAAATAAGAACTCTGAAAGCATTCTAATACTATACCAGGATCTGTGTCCTTATCAAGGCTAATCACAAATTGATAAGCACACATTTCCTTAGAAAACTTGGATCTTTGCATTCATTCAAATAATTGCTGTTCTTCATGTTGGATGACAAGATATTCTGGAAACTCATCTTCAGGAATTACCTTTGCTGCTCTGTCATATATAGAGTGTCCCCCAATAATGTATACATACTTTGAATGATTTTTAAAGTCAGTATTTATTAACATGCAGTTCATTTTCAAAATTTAAAAGAATCTGTAGACATGGTAATTTTTTTTTTTTTTTTTTTTTTTGTCAATGCCTGTTTTCAAACTGATGACCGTTCAGGTTCAGGCACTGCTGATAACATGAAGCAATGAAATAGAAAACATCAAGAATCATTTTGTTCAGTATTTGTGCACCCTCAATTAGTCAACTGTTGCTGGTTTTATACCATAAACTTTATCTTTCATGTATCCCCATAAAAAAGTCTAATAAATAAATTTCCTTTGTTCAAGCCTAGTCTGGCTTCACCTATTATTTCTAACCAGTTAAACTGGAAAAGGAGTGAAAATTAAATGAGTTATCAGTTGTTAAAATGTGATAAAATTTTGGGTATATCCTGTGTCCCAAAAATGTATACACATTTTGAATAATTATAAAGTCAGTCTTAGTACTTCAACTGCATTTTCAAACTTCTAATAGCATGAATTTCTTTTGTTCAACACTTACTCTGGCTGAAAAAGATATGTACACATATAATACTTTAATAAAAAATGAAAATAAAAATAAAATGCATACAAATTAAAATTAAAAAAAGAAAAGAAACATCAATTGTTCTGTTAAAGTGTGCACTCATATTTTTGGGATACCCTGTATATACCCATATCCTGACTTCCTGCTTGCCACCTCTCTGACTTGTCCCTAGCCATCAGGAAGATTTGGTAAAGGTGGTATAACAAGAAACCACCCAAAATATAAACTAATTAGGGACATGTATGTGATAGTATGTACTTGAGATGGATGAGTTGAGATGAGAGGGGGCTGGGATATTGAGGAGAAGTTCATGAATAAGTTGTGATCTGAGCTAGGAGATGGAAGAAAGGGGAGTAGGCCAAAGGGGGCTTCATGGAAACATTACAGAGTTGGGGCAAGCACCGCATGTGAAGGTGGCTGGGAAGAGATGTGAGGTGTCTATCCAGTGCCAGGCCTTGATGGAGGAAGTAGAAAGCTCTACTGAGGAGCTGCCTTTGCCTAACCATCCTGTTCCTTCTGTCCTAAAGCCGGTTTACCATAAAGTTCTCAATAGGAAATCTTCAGGAGAAAGCAGCTAGTCTCTGTGGATGTAAAATGTCACCCCGAGTCAGGCCTGCAGCACCAGTCTTTACAAGAGACACTGGCCTCCTAATTCCAAATGAGGAGTTGAGGCGTGTCCTCACTCTACTCTGACTTGCATTCATTTCCCATCATAACCTGGACACTTGTGAGTTGGATTCAATCTTCTGCTCTGTTTTGCACCCATCTTCTGCCTGTTAAAACACTCTCTTGCATTAATGTAAGACTGCACTTTGCAGATTCCTGGTGTCTGGCTGTTCCTCAGGACATGAAGAACAGGAGACTGTCTTCTCACCTCATATCTGTGTTCAATTGTAATCACAAAAGCACCCTATTTTGATCTGAGAAGAGCCACTTTTGATCATAAATTCTATAGCCACCCTAATTTGGGGCTATTACCCTTACTTAACACATGAGAACTTTGGGGCTCAGAGAGGCATAACTGTCTAGAATCATTTTCACCACTTGGTCTTGAGCACTATTTATGGGTAACCCAGGAGTCTTCTCATGGATAATGGAGGTGTTAATTATAAGTGATTTATTTTGAAATTTAAAATTCAATATAAATAAGTGAATATTCTTTTTTTTAAAAAATTATTTTATTGATTTTGTACAGAGAGGAAGGGAGAGAGATAGAGAGATAGAGAGTTAGAAACATCGATGAAAGAGAGTCACAAATCAGCTGCCTCTTGCACACCCCTTACTGGGGATATGCCCGCAACCAAGGTACATGCCCTTGACTGGAATCGAACCCGGGTCCGTTCAGTCCCCAAGCCGACGCTCTATCCATTGAGCCAAACCGGTTTCGGCAAAATAAGTGAATATTCTTATTAGAAAAGAAACATTCTCAGTGAAATAATTATAACATTGATACAAAATACAGGATTTATTTCTTTATTCCAATTGGAGACTATATTACTTCCTATTTATTTCTACTTACTGTCTATAATTAGCCATACTAAACAAAGATCATGGAATGATAAATATGAGGCATCAATGATACTGCAAATATTCAACTACCATTGGTCCTGTATTATTAGTTGATTAAAGCCACGTAAGTTAAATTGATATTGTGTAACTAGATTGATGATCAAGAAAGATATTCACTGATAAACCCAACATAGAATACCAACCTGTATTGCATGTCTGCCTGTGAAGGCACAGAGTCTGCTCAGGCAGGCTGGGAATGGGGGTATATTTAGTGCTGTGACTACCCCAGGTAACCAGGAGGCAAAGAGTTGGGAGATGTAGGCAGTTGGCTTCCTGGGAGAAAATGGGTTTAAATCAGGGAAGTTGAAGTGTCACATGCTAGAGCAGGGATGGACTTGAGAGAAAGAGTGGTCTCCACGAGCGAGGGCAGGAGCAGAGCAACAGGGCCTAAGGAATGGGGTCTAAGGGATGACTGAAGTGACAGCCGCTCCTTTTCGTTGGCCTTGGTTTTTCCTCGTGAGGGAGTGGCGGTCTGAAAGGCCTGAGGCTACTGTGTGTGCTTTATTCTTTTGCCTAACTTAACCCATTTCATCTTCATGGCCAGTATTGAATGCTGCCTAAACTGAATTCAGAGACTTTGGTAAAAAAGAAAGAATGTTGGTAAAATTCACATTTCCTCTTGTCCCATTTCCTTTCAGGCTTTGTGAATGATTCTGTTTCTAAATCCATCGCGGCTTTGCGCTTGACCCTGGTGGTGAAGACCAGCACCTGTGTTCCACCCGAGAGCCGTGCACGTGACCTGGAGTGCTCAGGAAAAGGGGCCTGCACCACGAAGCCAGCAGAGGTAAGGGGACACTGGTAGCCTGGAAAACATATATTGATATACATGTATTTTAAAGAGCCTCCCACATTTCTGGTTTCAATTATATGCCAGTATGCAACACACAGATATATAAATCTCCATATGATTTCTAAAGTAATTACAATGAGTTTGTGCAGTGCTAGCCCTTCTTGCTTTGGTATGAACCAGACTTTTCTGTGAGAAGAAGTTGTCATCATATCTGGTAGCAGAAGCAAGAGAAATGGAAGGAGGGAAAGGTAAGCATAGAGTCATTTATTTCCCAATTATTACAGAATTCCCTCCTTAGACTTTGCATTTCCCTCATACTAATGACAGTTTACAGAAGTGAAAATAAGAGAAGAGGCAGGGACCTGAAGGCTGACATTTTTTGACATTTGTGGACCAGCATTGTCAACACTGTGGTTGACCGGAATCTTGTTCCCCAAAGCTCAGGTCCCAGGGGCAGGAGTCAAGGGTTGGGTGTCAGGGGATGAGTACAATTTCTTCTCCTCATTTTCTGGTTAGTGATGAGGTAAAGGAGTCAGACCAGGAAAGGACCAGAGCAGCCACTGAGTCCAATTGCCATCGGCCTAGGGCTTTCTTAAGGCAATGGCAGATGGACCCCAGGCGCTACCTGAGTACCAGGAGTGAGAGATCCTAATCCTTACAAGGGAGCCTGTTGCACAAGGACACATCCACTACTCTTAACACTCACTGCTCTGGCATCCTTGCCTCCATTTCCCTCTTCCCAGTTCTACACATATTTACATTAGAGTTCATGTTAAGTAAAGTTCCCTCCATAGAAAAAGAGGGTGAGTTGTTTTAGACCAATTTTAAGGGTAGCACTGGTCAATTTTCTTTGGTGACCCCTCCTTGTGGCAATGCCGGCACCTTCAGTAATAGTGGTGGGAACTTGGGTAAGTGGAAGGAATGGGGTAACTGAAAAAAGGGATGTTGGAAGACATTACTCATGCCATCTTAGAAAACCCGTGATTTTGATGTATTTTAGGTGTAATGCAATGACTCAAACATACCATTTTTTCCCCCCATGTAAGATATCTCCTGGAGGGGGCAGAATGCTTTCAGAACCCAAGAAAGCAGTGGGAATGATAATTTCTTCTTAATCTTAGGAGAGGAACACAGATATAAACCAAAGTCAAAACGAAATCCCTGGGGGAGGGGAGAGAGCCTGGGGTAAAGCCAGGTGGCGAAGTGTGAGATTTCCTTTACTGAATGAGCCTTCCCTGTGGGTCTGTTTCCTTCTGTCTCAGTCAACTTGGACCCAAAGCTTCTCTTTCTTGAGAGGAAGCTTCATTCATCAACTTACTTTATGGAGAAAAAGGAAGGACACTAATGTTCTGTGACAGTCAAACTAGAGTACAGTAACTTGAGAAAAAATATGGAAACCATGGTAGAATGTCAGAGCTCCCCAGTGAGGCTGCAAAGAGGAACACACGGGTCTTCCCCAAATTTTTTATCATCCCCAGTGAATGATTTTGGGGCCTGATTAGCCCTCAAAACACTCATATCAACAAAAGAGCAATGTCTTAAGCAAGGAACAGAGGGCTGTTCTCAGAATTTAGGACTGGCAAAGAGGTTGAAATTCCTTGTGAGCTATCTCTTATGATGGATGACACTTCTGGGTAAACTTTTCATTCATAAAGTACTCACCGTGTTATCCTGAGGCATCATGTTGGCAGCATGCGGCCCCACCTGGGTCTCTTTGGCATGAATGCTCCTGCTCAGAAGCTGTGCCTGGTGCTTTAGCACTGACTCATTGAAAAGGTTGTGGAAGTGGTTAGCACCTGGCAGGTAACTTGGAAAACTGGAAAATAAAAATGACTCAATTGCCTGAGTGAGGAATTCATGCTAATTTTAGCAGATCACTATAGAGGAAATACGTTCATTACGGGCACCAGCTCCTTTGAATAGCTGTTTACCTCTCCCTGAGATGACACCTCCTCCCTCTGCTGCCACCTCCCACGTCCACCACGTCCATCTGGTGGCTTCTAGAGTATGGAGCCTCTGCTGTTGTTGATTTAGTCAAAGCCCACATGCACCTTCAGTGGATTTAAGGAAATCATGGCTGTCATCTAAACTGAGCCATTATAATCAATCTGGTGACTGTAAGCTAACGATTAGGCTGAAATTACCATGTCCATTCATAGCCCCACTTCGTCCTCTTGGAGAGAACAATCTGGAAGCCAGTCCTATAGTTCATAAAAAGATGGGGGGAGTTGAACTACCATTGGCAGGAGAGGGGATACAAAGAAGGCTCACCTTTTTTGTGTCTACTTGAGTTCCTTTGGCTTCTTATGATTGTTGCATAATTTACTAGTCATTGACCGACAAGACTGTTATCGTCAAGTTTATTTCTTCTTACTCTTTTTAAAACTTAGAAGTTTTATGGTCTAACCTTAAGCTCAGTGCAAAATAGAAAGAACTATATGGTAGTTTAATTTTTTTACTGTTGCTAATCATTTTTGTAACTAGTTATTGGATCATCCATAAAAATAAAAGCAATTCGATTATTACCACACTACTCTCATTTGGTAATGGGGCTCATTTCTTTTCTGTCAGGTATACTTTGTCTCGAGGATACTTCACAGTTCTGAGTTGATGGGAGATTTGCAATAAAAGTTTAAGCTTGCTCTTCTTAGATATGGCCCCATCCTGAGAAGGTCTTTTAAAATTTTTACTATAGCACGGTAGGAAGCTACCTTTTAAAAAACTCCTTTTGTTGTAACAGTTGACTGATGTTTTCTTTTCCTTATAAAATGTTTGGACTGTTGGCCACTGCTTCTCTTTGAATCTTGTCACCAAGGTTGGCTGCTGCTATTTGATGATTCCTTAATTATCTGAAAGGTGTGTCAGAAAGACCTCTTTGTTGGTGTGGGCCTTAACTCTTCTTTAGATTCAATTAGCTTCCATGAACCCTGTCTCCCAAGTGCAAGAGATGTGTATTAGTCAAGATTTTTAGAGAAACAGAAGCAATAGGAAATATATTTATGATTTATTTAAAGGAATTGGCTCATTCTGGATCCACTCATTGTGGAATCTCAGTGAGTTCAAAATTTGATTGAGGAGAGGCTAGTGGGTTGAAGACTCAAGAAAGAATTTCATTTCAATTCCAAAGGCAGTATACTGGTGGATAAAAAAGAGCTGATGTTGCAGATAAAGTCCAAAGACTGCTGGGAGAATTCCTTCTTGCTTTGGGGAGATCAGCCTTTTGTTCTATCCAGGCCTTCAACTGATTGGATGAGGCCCACCTCATTATGTAGTTCAATCTGCTTTACTCAAAGTTCACTGATTTAAATGTAAATGTCATCCAAAAACACCCTGATAGAAACATCCAGAATAATGTTTGACCAAATATCTAGGCACCATGGCCCAGCCAAGTTGACATATAAAACCTTCACAGAATTTTCTCTCCAATTCATTGTTGTACCCTTTCTACTCAATTGCATTCCTTGCCCGCAAAATTAAAGGAGTAGTTTTGAAATTTACTTTGCCTAAGATTTGCCTGAGCCTCTTGACAAAAAAGGTCATATTCCAGACCCCTCACTCAGATTATGATGCCTTTTGTTAGATAGATGGTGATTCTGATGCAAAAGCAGGTTGTGGACTATAATTCTGAAAATAGAGGTCTTAGGAATAGTGCTTATCATCTTTCCATTCTTGCTGATTTCATAACACAAATATGAAACATCATTTTATTCAGGGATTTAACTGTTAATAAATTCAAGGTCACATGGAATTAATAAAACAAAAGACAACTGCTGATAAATGATATATGTAATGCTTCAATACATATTCCCAAACTGTCCTATTTGTTGGCTCTGATTTATATTAATAGATAAGTGGGGTCAGGCCCCCATTCTTAAAAGTTTCCTTAGAAATCTCTCTAGCTGTAGCTTAGGAATCCATCATTCTCAGGCTATTTGGATCAGATATTAGAGCTGACTATTCAGATTGTGTTTTGAGAGAGAATTGAACTGACATCATTGCTGGGAGCCATTGATAATTCCCCATATCTTAATTCTGTCTCCAGGAGTTGGCCTGCACATGAGAAAAGCACTAGTATGTTTGGACTCTTGAAGATTCCCGAACTTCTGTTACCTCCCTCCCTCCTCTTTGAAGTCAAAGGCTCAAGTTCTAAAAAGTCCAAGTCTTCCTATGGCCGAGTTCTTCTGCTTGGGTTTGGCTTATGAGAAATAGATCACTGCCCTGAATTATGCCCAAATCTCATGAAACATCAACTTCCACAGCCTTCCTCCAATTAAATATCTAGTCAGTGCCCATTTGAGGTATTTCACATTTTTTAGGGGGAAAGAATCCATTTAAATGGTCCCCAGCATGGACTTCTGTTTTTGACAGTTACCTCAAATATGGCTTTAAAGTGCAAATAGTAATGATAAAAAGTACAAATGGACTAATTTGTCTCCCTGAAATCTGACAGATTGGAGCTTTAGGTTGATGATGGTATTTGTCTTTTCCTTCGTGACATCCTTTGAGCTTCTTAAGAATCAGCCTGCCTTTGCAGCTTATCCTTCCAGTGAGGGAGAGTAGGTAATTTAGAATGACCTGTGATTGTTAGGGGATTGTGCAGCAAAACTTCCCCCCAACTGGACAGAAACACCAACGTGGGACAAATGTGTCTTAATGACAGGTAGGGTCCAGGTTCCTTCCTGGTATTAGAGATTTCTCCTCCCTTTCAGAATAGCTCTCTGCTGGCCAACCTTGTGCCTCAGTCTCTGTATGTTGGCCTCCATTCTCTGTTGGTGAGCCACAGACTCATGCGAAGACTCCTCCAGTGGATGTGGTGTTTGCACTTTTATTTACAATTATGTTTGACTTCATTTAGCCCAGTGTTTTTCTGAGTTTTTGGACTCAGAACATCCTTGCATTTTACGAAGTCATTAAGGTCCCCAAATAACTCTTGCTTATTGGGCTCCATCTACTGATATTTATTACATTAATTTAAAACTAAGGTATTAAATATT